ATGAATTTATCTAACCAAAAACTAGACCTTATTCGCATGCAGGCCTTATTGTAAAGGCATGCTTTTCGTGCGAGCCCTTCTATGGAAGCGAGTCAGAAACTGAGCTGAGATAGTCCGTATTTATCACATTCAAGTTTTCTTGTGAAGCGTTTAATTTTTCTTCGGGGGTTCAAAAAATTGGCCCATCTAATCCAAATTTTTCACATCAATTTATTTTGCCAAAATCCTATTATCTGGCAATTTTTGTAGGCAAATATTAATAATTGGAAAGTTTTTCATACAAGACCTTTTTCAAAGTTGAGCTATATACCGGAAGCGAAAATTCCGTAGCGATTTTCCCTGGGCCAGGCCACGTTAGTATGCCTATTTTTATTAAAATATCTCAAATATATCGATCAGTATCGATCAGTGAACATATATTACAAGAACAGAGCTCAAACAGTCAGTGTTATATACATGCACATAAGCCTAATCTACTCAGGTTCACTAGTGGTGCACAATATAAAACTCCACATGGAAACAAATGAAAGGAAAGTTGATAGAGTAACAATATTCGATGAAAAAAAAACAGTAATACTGAACCCGTTTTCGCGGGTCTGCTTCCCAACTGCTTGCAACTGAAGCAAATTTAAATCTAAATATAGAGAAATATATAGGATGCTTTAAAAGTATGGACTTTTATGCGATCCAAAAAAAGACAACATTAATCCTAAGGATATTCTAAACAAGTCACAGCGAAAGAAGAAAAATTATATGAGTTACGTTACAGGCCGTTTTTAAAAGTCTTACGCTCTCAGTCTCATGTTCTTGCAACGGATGCTACACTACACGTATTGTTGCTTGAAAATGCCGACCGATGAAGGCAAAAGCTTTCTAAGCACTTCTGTCAACGCGCTAGAAGTGAACTAGAAGCGACATGTTCAGCTGTAATATTCCAGCAGGGATTCCTTTGGCACCACTCCTATTCCGATATGTTTGGTTCAACGTAAAAATTTCCTTCAGATAATGAATCTTTTTTTTTTTCACATATTCTACAAGGTTCAGAGCCACAATCTATTAAGTCAATAAAAAAAAGAATTTTTATTCGCCCTAAGGTATAGATTCTTTTCAAAGCCTTAAAGAGAGAAGGAAAGAGAGAGAGAGGGACTGCATGATTTCTTCATAAAAAAATGCAAAAATTTGTTTCTCCAAATAGGATAAAGTGCGTTGATGAAATGAAAGATACAAAAAAATTTTTTAAAAGAAAAGTAAAGTATCCAAATGAATATTTTGCGGTTTCATTTAGTCTACGAAGCGATCTTCCATATCTCAAGGTGTCGATTTCTCTTGCTTGCTATAAGCAAAATATGTGCGTACGTACACTTAAATTGTTAAAAAAGCAAATAACTTTTGTAAAAATAATTACTCAAAAATTTTTTGTTGTTTTGAATATGATTATAATGAAATCGGCAAGGTTTTCATCCAACTCATTGTTGTTGTTTTATGAAGGATATGCCGCCCTGTTATTATACAAATCGATTCAAAATCATAATCTGAATTCTAATTTGAATTTAAGCTTGTCTGTTCGTCGGTCCATGTATATTTATGTTTAAGCTACGGGTCACAAAAATTTTTGAAATATTTTGACCAAATTTGGTACAACGAAGTGTTTTGACCCAATGACGAACAGTATTGAGAATGGCTCGGGTCGGTCCAATTTGTCAACCATACAAAAAAGAAAATTGTATTAGACTTGTTTACTTATTACAAAATTATGAACAAGAGATAAGGACCCAAAAGGCATACGACGGTAATTTGGCCAACGTGTACAGGACGTTAATAGTTTGTAAAAAATTGTGTTTGCATTGTGCTTTCACAGATTTACTATATATAAAAAATCATATCAATAAACCGATGCTGATTACTTATATACACATAAATATAATCTATTTGTGTAAATTGTTGCATATCCGGGAATCTTAAAAATACACGTCCTGTACAAATTTCTATAAAATTTAAATACACACACACACACATGCAATGTTGCACCCTTTTTCCAAATAAATCCCAAATTCCAAAAAAAAAAAAAATTCCAAACTTATACATGTACATAATGAAACATATGTATGTATCAATGCTTATTAGGTAGGTTCGTGGAAAAAAAAATATTTTCCAAAATTTTCTTACCTGAGATGAAATGAGGAAAATACTTTAAATTGAATTCAAACATATTGCAGACGAAAACAAAATTTAAATCACGCTGACGTCACAAAAAGCATAAAAATGGCCTAAAAAGGCGAAAGAGCGTAAAGGAGAAAAGAGAGAAGTAATTACCAAATACATGCCGCTAGTTGGGACTCTATAAAGCTATTGATCTTAATATCAAGCTCTAAACATACATATTTACAATAACACACACTCACACGCATAAAGTCTTAAGACTTAAGTGTTCAAAACCACCTTAAAAAAGAGACATCGTAATAAACTATAGGCGGATAGAGTATAAAAAGTGGCGGGTTTTTTTAAATGAAACACAGTTACCACAGAGACAACACACAAAGTGGATTAAAAGAAAACGTACGAAAAAAGAAACAACAGGATATTGAAAATAATTTACGTAAGGATTTTAAAATAGAGACAAAAGTGAGTTCAATTAACATAAAAAAAAATAAATAAATAAAAAAAATCGAAACAATAATTTTAACTACAAAAAAAAAAAATTGATATATATATATATATATCTGTGTGTATATATATATATATATATATATATATATAATATAGATAGACACCCTGTGCTGCTCAAGTTAACTCAACTAATTCAAGTTAAAATTGAAAAAAAAATTACAGAAAGTGAAAATTGCTTATACGTCTTACTGTAATTGATCAATTGGGACCTGGAATAAGTTTGAATAGAAAGAAAAAATTGTTGATATGTTCGCTATAACTGCAAGATCAGAGAATAGAATTTTCAAAGCCTTTATTGTTGCACTGCAGCCCCTAATCTTCAATTATCTGCAACTCGATTTAAAAATTCATATTCGAAGGAGACTTGAATGTGTTAATGATAATGATAATCATTCATATTTATATCAAAACTTTAAAAATTATTTGTCAAAGATTTACGTTCATTTCTTTCAGATGTAGACACGACTTTGATTAGCTTATCCGGGAAAAATGTAAATAATTTAAGCTATCTAAACCTATGCTAAACTAATAATCCGTATTGATAATTGATTTACAAAAGTCAAAATATGCAAACCATTTACACAATTTTAAGATTACTTACGCCTCGAATATTAGATATATACAGAGAGAGAGAGGCGTTACAGTACATTGATTCATTTAGAATTTCATATGCCCACTTTTTTATGTACCTGATCATAAACTCTTCAGTTAGTTTTTGCATACTACACCAAAGGCGTACAAGGCATACAAGGCTGCACGGATGTACCTATTGAACGAATTGAACGTGTCTCGCCTTTTACAATATCAATTGACTCAAATACATATACTCAATTTTAAACTCATTAAGATTTATCCATTCACTTGTCCGCCTGATTCACAATTCAACCTATTGAGCGCAAATTTTTGGAATTGTTTGATGAAATTCAGTACAGTAACATTTTTCGATCGCAATTCGTTAAAGATGGCATTAATTGCTTTTTCTTGGACGAAAATCGGTAAAAAAAAAAAAAACACAAAATTTTATTATTCTAAACGTACGTGGAAAATTTGAATGGGATGGGACCATTCTTTGAAGCCCTCTCAAATAAAGAGCTTTAGAAATGAATAGCACCTACATGGTAAACCTAATATGGTCTAGCATTTTAAAAACGTTGATTTGACGTGGACGCATTAAATATGGACCACATTCACCTAACTCTTAGATCTCCTTCCATACAATCATTGCAATGAAACGTAGCCCTTTTGTATGGTAAGGTAAGGTACTCTAAGCTTAAGGCGGAAATCGACAAAATGAATTCAGAGTTCTGCGATAGGCAATCTTATGAATGGATGCAGTGATAAAGTTACATTAATAAATATTGCCTCTGGATAAAAAAAGAAAGTAATAATATTAATAATTAACACACTATTAACTTAGTAAAATGAACACTGTACAGTAAATATTCCCAACTGCACTTAATTTAATATTTTGCATAAATTATTATCAAAACCCACATACTTAATCCACAAAGTCTTACATAACTCTGCTTAAGAGACCGACCATCAGTTGTGACTATAAGTAACAAACATATAATGAAATTTACCCAAGTTCCCCATAACTCCGCTCACCACGTACGTATATTTTGACAAAATCAAGTCTTATTTATAATCTTTTAAAATTCACTTACTCACTTTTATTACAAGAGAAGCAAAAATATAAATGTAAAGGCGAGCGAAACGAACAAACAAAATATGTTGCAAAATCGTAGACATATAAACGAACTGCGAAGAAATGAAGGAAGGAAGCAAAAGCCATATATTAATATTAAATGAAAGAAAAACAAAAAAAAAAAAAAAAAAAATTACTTCATACATTTATTTCTAAAGCTATTTTTATACCAGCATCAGGCAAACGAAAACGAAAACAAAAACGAAGCAAATCTTGCACAAGTAAAAAACCACCAGTTTTAAGAAACGGGCTTACGGCACTGCGCGCAGACAAACGACGAGCTAATGACCTTAAATGAAAGTAAAAGTATATTTTCGTATCGTCTTTTTGTTCATCTTTCAATTCATTCATGCATATAGACATAACTCGCAGACGCATACATATATAGCGACTAGTAAAGTTATTGTGGACATGGTCAGTTATGAGTCAAACTCAATCTCCGTAACCAGTTTTTATTAAACAAAAACAAAAAAATCATTTTCTTAAAGCTAAAGACTATATATAAATTAGCGCAATGACCGTTTAAGCCATAAGATATTGAGGTCAATTTCGGGCTAACTCTTACCTAACATTCCAAGTGTTTTTGTGTTAGTTAATAATTTTATTTTGTTTTGAATTTTGACAGCATGACGATCAGACTGAGATGTATCGTTATCACTTTTGTTGTGGTAGTCTTTCGTACTTACACAAACGCCGAAGATACTCTTAATTGGGATAGTGAATGGATTCCATCTAGCAGAGAGTCTATGTTATACCGACGGTCCACTGACTCAAAGAGTAAACTCACCGAAGACGTTCAAGGTCGCAATTATGCTGTTCAAGAGTCTCCTTATAATGAAACTGACATAAATCAGTTAATTGAACAGATTATCAATTCGAGACGTGAAGGCCGCATTCTAAATGAATACGATGAAGTTTACGCGGACGGTAATATTGATCAGGCTTTAATGCAAGGCAACGATGTACAGGCCCGCAATTTAGTCCGCGATAAACTTTGCGCCTTAGGGTTAATGAATTGTGAAAGCGTTGAAAGTAAACGCCCATTCTACTCAGGTGTTTACGCCCAACCAAATAAATACGGAGGCGGACCGTATGGTCCAGCTAGGCCTATGCCACCTCCTGGTCATTTTAAAGGCCGCCCTGTGCCAAACCCCTCCGGCCATAACTCCTTTGGGCCACCACGAAAAGTTGGCTACGATGGACCTTACAAGCCTCATCATTACAGACCGTCCGGACCAGGACCTATATATAGCGGCTCTAGCTTGTTAGAGTCTCCACTAGCGCCCGGTATACACACTCCGTCCTCGGCCATTTTTAGCAAACCTCCACCGGGAGCCATCATTATTGGTAGCAAGCCGCCCCCTGGTCCCATTTTTGCTAATAACAATAACGCTCCTCCTTATAACTTTGAAGCGCCCGAAAAAATACAATATGCAGGCTCGCAACAGACAAACTTCTACAGTCATCAGACGGCAGCAGCATCAGCTTCCAGTTCTAACGTGGTCGTTAATGAACCAGCTACTTCTGGCAATTTGCAACAGCATGTTCATCATCATTATCACCACGTAGAAGGCTCAGACCAAGGCAAGCTGCCATCGGTTGCCATACCCATTAATGCTGGACAGAATATTAATACAGACTTCTCTGCTTTGGCTCAATCTTCTGCTAGTTACACACCACAACTTCAAGGTGGCTTCACTCAGTCTCCCGCCTATACCGGTGGCTTTAATAGTGCCTCCCAAGGCGGCCTTATATCGCAAAACATTAATAAACCTTCTAGTCTAGGACTAGGCTCTTATGGATCAAAATACACTCAAACAAGCAATTTAGGTTCAAATTATCATACCCAGAAGCCTGATTATTATAAAAAGGAGTTACACAATATTGATGGTCTGTCAGCTTCCAGTAATTTCAACAGTTTGACATCGGGTTATGCAACACAGTCCCAATACTCTGGTAATGGTATTTATGATACTTCGCGAAATCAATTCATTGAATGCCAATGTGTACCATATAATCAGTGCCCTGCTTCCGATCGAATTGGTCGTAAAGAAGATTTAATTTTACCTATTGACCCTCGTAATTTGGGCAAAGATATTGAAGCGTTGAGTGACGAAGCAGCCGCAAACGTTACTCTTCCAGATATTCCAACACAATCGCAGCCAGGAGAGAACTCTAACTCAGACGGGACTGAAGAGAACAGCAAGCGCAGCAAACGCGAAGCTATCAAAGCCGAAGACAAACAATCAGAAGATGAAGAAGATTTACATTTGGACGCAGAAGGGGTAAGTTACTTCGCTTATTATAATCGAACTAATTTTAATTTTAAGTTAATTATGATAAACTAAAGATAATTTCTTTAATAAGCTAATGAAACCGCTTCTAGCCATACATACTATCAATACTGCGCTGTCAAAACATAAATTTATTTGGAATTCGTTCTTGTACCAAATATAACGGGCCTTAATTAATAATTAGTATGATGTGCAATAACAATCGAAACAATTTTTTTGGAAATGTTATCACGTATAACGACTAATTTTAACTATCAATTCTCAGCTAACTGCATATCTTTTTTGGTTATAACACGGTTTGCACGTCTACTAGCACGTCTGTGGTATGATCAATTTTGAAGTTTCCATTGATTATGAAAATTTTCTTTTGTTAGCGTCAATTACTGGAGGCATCACAGGCCCTACAATTATTACAGCGCAATATCTTGCCCACTTATGGCGTTTCGTTTGGTTTGCCTTATCCTAGTAATCCGTCGGGATATCCACCTAACGTTTTGGGTGAAAATTATCCTGCGCAAAATCCTTATTTTGGTTCCATAGGACCGAACGGACTCAATCTGGGTTTAGTCAATGTAAATCCTTTAGTTTCCATTCAGGTTCAAAAAACCGACTACGGCGAGAAAGTAGTTAAGCCTTTGATTAATTTGCATGTGACCCCAAATCTAAATATTTTGAAAAAAGTAAGCGGCTTATTTAAACCTAAACCACAATTTATACACAATACTCATTATCATCAACACGATCATTTCTCGGAAATTTTATATGATCACCATCACGATGAAATTCTAACTAGTCCCGAACACATTGAACACTACTCGCCTAGCATGGAAATGCTACCCAATAAACCGATATTTGAATATCACGATAACGGACCAGGTTTACCACCTTTCGGTCTTTATGATCAAAATCATTATGCCGATCATTATGAACATGACGACAGGCCTGGTTATGCCAAAGAAACAATTTACGAGGCCGAACAAATTAAAGATGTGCCGAACTTTGCACTCTCGGACAATGACTATGAAAATCTAGACGGCAGTCGTCGACAAAGCAAATTATTAAAACTACCAAACGAGAGTAAGCGTGAGCAAGAAATGAAAAATGGCCTGTCCTTAAGTGAAAGCCAAGGAAGTAATTATGTAGCATTTCCTCGAGATCGTAAAAGACGGCATATTCAAGATCATGAAACTGAATCAGCGCAGCTTGATAGTACATTGGCTAAATTCGTGAAAGAAAAGGAGCGGTCAATAAAAATGATAGAGAGTAAAAGACAAGAAGTAAAAATATTCTCTAATGAACTGTTTTTGTAATTTATTTTTATCTGCCGTACCGCTTCTTTTAGCGTGCTTATTATGGTAACCGACCCGTTGAGAAAAACTGCCGTATTGATGAGGTGTGTTGCCGTCGTCCATTGCCTCCCGTTCAATTAGCTCAGCAGTATGGCCGGTGTGGCGTGCGTAATGCGGCCGGTATTACGGGACGTATTAAGAATCCAGTTTATATTGATGGAGATAGCGAGTTCGGCGAATATCCTTGGCATGTCGCAATTTTGAAAAAAGATCCTAAAGAATCGATTTACGCTTGCGGTGCTACATTAATTGATGCTCAACATGTCATTACAGCAGCTCACTGTATCAAATCGTAAGTTGGCAATAAATAGACTGAACGAACATTGACAAAAAAAAAAACGAATTCTACTCATTTCTACTCATAGGCAAAATGGTTTCGATTTAAGAGCTCGTTTGGGTGAATGGGACGTTAACCATGACGTTGAATTTTTCCCCCACATTGAACGTGACATTGTTTCGGTTCATATCCATCCGGAATACTATGCGGGCACTTTGGATAATGATTTGGCCATCTTGAAACTTGATCATCCGATAGATTTCTCAAAAAATCCTCATATTAGTCCCGCTTGTTTGCCCGAGAAGTTTTCCGATTTCACTGGATCTCGCTGTTGGACAACAGGTTGGGGTAAAGACGCTTTCGGCGAACAAGGAAAATACCAAAATATTCTTAAAGAAGTCGACGTGCCTATATTATCTCATCACCAATGTGAGAATCAGTTACGCAGCACTCGTCTCGGATATAATTATAAACTTAATCCGGGTTTCTTGTGTGCCGGCGGGGAGGAGGGTAAAGATGCCTGCAAAGGTGACGGCGGCGGACCATTGGTTTGTGAACGCAACGGTATTTGGAAAGTGATTGGAGTCGTGTCTTGGGGTATAGGCTGCGGACAAGTCAACGTACCTGGAGTTTATGTACGTGTTGCACATTACCTCGACTGGATACATCAAATCACGCAGTATTACAAATGATTGAGAAACACGCATACAATCAACAATTGTAGTAGCTATTGTTTAAAGCAAGATATATTCCAGTTTCATTATCCGTAGCCATTTATTTAATGCTTTCGTCAATTTTTTCCATTTTATTTATTATTAGCATTTTAAGCATTTCGAACTAGTTTGCACCTTCAACACTTTCGTTTTATTTATTATTTTACGATGATAAAAATTTCTTGTTCGTAAAGTTTACTACTAATGTGATGTGATTTATACGTAGCTTCCCAAACCATTCAAATAAGTAGAAAGAAACGTGGAAGAGAGTGCAAAAAAACAACTCCTAATTATTTATTATTTTTTATCTGTATTTGTAAACTTTCGAAAAAAAGCGAAAACTAAATTTTGAAAATAAATTACTTAACATTAAAGAGTAAGAAAATTAATTTACTTCCAAATGCTTTCTAGTCATTCGTTGTGTTTACAGGGCATTCGGTAAGTGAATAAGAAGTTTTTGTCTCTCCATCTAATCGTATGCAGAGAAATCCATACACATATATAAGAAACTAATTTGAATACCGAATAGCGTACACTAAGTGCGTCTGCTCGTTTGTAGTTAAGTCAGGTATCCCATAAAGTCCAAGATTTCTTTTATACCCATCACCGAAGGATGAGGGGTACATTCATTTTGTCGAAACGTTTCCAACGCCCAGAGAAAAGCATCAGAAACCCCTCAAAGTGTACATATATTCTTGATCAGAATCAAATTTTGAATCGATGTAAACATGTCCGTCTATCCATCCAACTGTATAACGTCTGTTCTACACACACTTCTGACCATAAAAATAAATATGAATTTTAAATTTGGTAGACGCCTTGACAGCTCTTGCACGCGGGTTGATATTGAAAATGGACGAAATCGGCTCGAGGGTACGCTCACAGTACCATGTAAGTTGACAACACCTCTGTTTCTCAAAAGGAATAAAAGATTAGCTCTTTGCTCGTTACTCATAAGCTATAGAAGAAAAATATACAAAAATTTGAACATATATTCTATGGGCGATTCTGTACTAACTGACCAAAATTAGACCACGCCCTCCTAATATTTTAGAGTATCAAAAATTAATTATTTTTTTCAAAACCTTTATAATGCAGAAAAGGTAGCTTCAAAAAGTATATAAATTCTTGGCCAGTTTCGCATTTCCGTCTTATCGTTTGTCCTTCAGTCTGTCTACCCAACTGCCTAGTATCTGCGGTAGATATTTAAGTTTTAGCGAAAATTAAGCCATCTCCTGAAAATTTACAAAAAAATTTGAAAATGGCCTAAACTTTTTAAAGGACGTGCCTGCAACGCCCACGTGTCTAGGCGACGAAAACTTTTATTTTGCAAATGAAAAAAAAAACCATGCATACTCACTGCATATTGTCGAGCATGAAAATGTAGTCCTTTTGCTTTTTTCTATCTTTTTTAGGTTACCGATGATGAGTATAAAAGACTCGATCCAGAGCGAATATAATTTTCTATATTTATTTATATTTGTATTCATGCCACGCCGTCAGTTTGTCTGTTGTTTATGTTAATGTAATGTTTATCGGTGACGGCCTCATTTTAACACTGAAAATAGGCGTGGCACAAAATTATTACTTTACAAGTCACTTTGCATTCGTTGTGGCCGTCGCAGCAGTCCTTTTCACTTTTTTTTTGCCAGATTTTCGAAGCAAACTTAATCTTAATATTTGATATGATTGATATATTGTATATAATGAAATCATTAAGCTTTAAAAGTCGTTTCACTATTTTAAAAGAATTTATTAATGAATTTCGCCAATTTTCATAAAGGATTTATCGGAGTAACCCCAACTATGATCATTTTGTAAGAGACCAAAAAAAAAGAAAAAAACACTGACAGAAATACAATCGAGAGATGGTCATAGTTAACTAATTTAGGATTTTAAACTTATCAATGTAACTTATGAAGGCTTATAAAAAAAATTTATTGAATCTCAATCCCTCAAGCACGGAATATAGAAATTCGACTTTGCGACTGTGTTAGACGAAAAAAAAAAGAAGAAAATGATACTTACAAATACAAAAGTTGCAGCACCAGCACAAGAAGACGGCCCCGATTCTTTTCTTAAATTTAAATCTGATAAGCTTTTAAATAATCTCTGTAAAAGTGAGCTTTTCTTCTTTTTTTTTATTTTTTTTTTTTTTTTATTTCACATATATAGAAATATAGACAAGTTGCTTAGCTTAAATATGATCGGTTTTAATTTAACAGCAAATTTCTCTGTAGTATTTATTGATGAAAAATTATGTTAACGACAAGCAACTTATATAAAATGCTCCCTCATCAATATGAATTGCGTTGAAAACATGCAAAACAATTATATACACTTCAACACTTCCTAGTTGTGAATTGTTTAAACACCATACAAATATATTCATATCACATTCCCACACATTTGTAGCAAAAAAGATGGAACATATTAGCAAATTATACAAAATGAAAAAAAAACCAAGAAGCAGAAAAGCAAACTTAATAAAAGTAATTAAAATATAAAAATGAAACAAGTAAAAATATGTTTGAATAAAACGGTGGTCAGCACTCGTATATGATGGTGATGGTTGACTAACCAAATGAAGGTATAAAATTACCGTGAAATATCATAAAAGTAGACACACGGTAAAATAAAGTTCGTTAATAATGTTACACAACACCGCTGCGCAGATAATAGTCTACGTTTTCTTAGGTAGGATAATGTTTATATAGTTTAAGAAGTCTCGGCTTAAATATATACATATATACATATATACATATATGTATATATATTTATTAATTTTTTAAGCTCATCACTGCTTTGAAGCAGTGGGACGTTTAACAAAACGAAATGGTTTCGTATATCAAATACCGGTAGCATCCGTGCAACATGGTGGTGGCGATTTATTTGAACCGCAAAGTCAACATGCACCAACCAATCATGAATCATCTGAATCTGAGGGAAGCAACTATGTAGATTATCATATAGAAACTGAAGCAATCGATGGGCATGTTAGTGATGGAGGTAAACCTGGTAAAGCTGGCTATAGTATCGGCAGTGGATTACGATCTATAGCTCAAGGATCTGCTGATCAAGCTTACACTGCTGTAGTTTCACAGCACGCTGCAGCCAAGCAAGCGGCTTTTATTGCTAAAAATACCTTAGCACAAGCGGCTACTCAGGCGGCCGCGACAGCACAAGCTGCTCTAGAAGGTAAAGAAGTGTTGCTGCAAGAATTGCAACAGCAAACAGCCGAAGCTCAAAGGGCTTTATCGCGAGAATTGGAACAATTAAAATCAGCTAGATTGGCCGCCAAATTGTCACAACAAGCTGCCCAAGCAGCTAATAATCATATATCAGTATTAACGGCAGCCGTTAATAATGCTAAAGCTGTAGCCGAACACGCTGCACAAACAGCAAATGAAGTCTCTAATCAGTTGGCTTCGCAATCAGCCATGGTCGGCCAAGCAAAATCACGCTTAGAACAATTGGAGCAGCAATTCCAACAAGCCAGCATAGATTATGAAGCTACGAAAGAGGCCGCCTTAAAAGCAGCTTCTTCTGCCGCCGAAGCGCAGGTAAACGCTTCCAAGGCTGCTGCACATGCCACTTTGGGCTTGCATGAGAGCGCTCAACCACAAGCCAATAATATTCATAGAGAACATTACGATGACAGTGATAATGCAAAAACAACTAATCATCATCAAGTACGAGGTTTAATAAATAATCAGCATGTTGCTATCGTACACAATGGACACGCACATTCTATAGATAGAACCGGACAAAATCATAAGCAGTGATAATGATTATTGCACGTATGCAAAAAAAAAGCGGAGAACGTCAAAGGTACACAATTGAAGAAGTTTCCGTCTAAGGCTTTCAATACAAAAAGGACAGTAACAACGACAGCACATTTCAACCAAACTATTTATTATTCGAATGGATAATTATTAAACTAAATATTGTATACTATTGGTATGCTTTGGTTACAAGTTGCAAAAAAATAAAATAATGGATGATATAATAACGCAATAATTAACGATAGAAATTAAAAGTGATGTCTTTTAATAAACAGTGCTTATATCTTCAAGAAAGACAATAAAAATCGTAATTAGGATTTTTAATAATAATAGTAGAAATTTGTAGAAAAATGGTGTTTCTACATTTGGAGTAGTTGAAAACACTGCGGACGGGATGCGGATGGGATGCGTTGCAGAAAACATCTTTCAAAAGTTCGATGCGTTTGCAATTCGTCTTACTAAAATTATCTTACTAAAGGACCTGCAGCATTTCAATACGGCATGAACTCAACTTGCTGCTTACATAACTATATTTTATCACGTAAAAAAGTTTTAAGGAAGCTTACTTTTAGGGAATCAATAGAACGCTCTTCAGGCTAGGTTGCCATTCAAATTTTCATTCCTATAACGATATTAAGAAAGTATTTACATATTATTCAGAGACTTAAGCTTTTATGTATAGTTAGTTACATAAAATTGGCCAGGGAAGAAAAATTGATTTTTCATACATTAATTGATCAACGGATTTAAAAAAAAACAATCCTATTACAATTTGCATGTTATTCTTCAAGCCCTTTTATTTGATCCACATCAATCACATTCTACTTCTTCTACTATAACCCTTTTTATTTCATGGCCGTGTAAATGCGATTGTTTTAGAAAAAGATAATCCGCCTTTTTGGGTACAAGAACATACAATGTCCACTAAAATGTATTATCATCAGAATCAAGAGTGTGCGCAAAATTTCAACGAAAATTTCAATATAGCGGAATGTCCAGAAACGCCGATTGACAATTTTCCAATAAAAATAGACAAACAAGAAAAGAAGGCGGCGCTATTGTAACCAGATTCAAAGCACTAATCTTTATTTTGAAATTATTGGTTTGCCCTTTTTTTTCGAAGATGTTGCAGTTTTCCACAAAAAATCCCCGTACATATAATAATTCGATGAAGTCAAGAAACAGCTGTTTTCTTCTTCTTCCATTATCCAAATAACTAACCATAAAAAATATTTTCCTTACTTTTGCAACATATTGAAATTAATTTAAAAAAAAGAAGAAAAGTGAAATGGCCGGCAACGGTATTAAATATATAGGCCGTAAAACTGACTTCAAAGGAAAAACTTTGTGGGAGATTGTAGGAGATCTCAAGGATTATGGTATAGGCCGTTTGATAATACGTAATATGTTTCAACGGTATCCGGAGCCATGCTATTTGCGCGTTTTAAAAGTCGAAACTGTCGATGATGAGGTAATAATTAAAAAATTTTTGTGGACAGTGTAAGTTACTCATTTGCTTTGCTGCAGAAAGTTCCCGGCATGGCGCGAAAAGTTAAGGTATCAGTACAGAAAACATGGCGCGGCGTCACTCTACCCAAACCTATTGAAATCTATAGCACTAGCTATAAAGCTGATTATGAATTAATAGATAAGGAAGACGAACATAAATACCTAAATAATACCAAAAAAGTGGAAGAACGTATATTAGATAATAAAATGGAGTTTCCTCCATTGTTAAGAGAATTCATTGAAGAAGAGACTGGTCAAAAAAATCCTATCATGAAAGTACATTTTAAACCTATGGCAAATAAATTTGTTCGTTTGGCAAAAGACGGAGAGACGACACACATTAAACTGACTCCCGGACTGGGTCAACCATCGCCGGTATCCCTTAAACTTTATGATGGTTGTTTGTAATTGTTGTTGACACATTCGTAGAAAAATAAATTGTGCATATATAATAAATCTCGAATGCTTTATTTTCTTTGTACATGGATACGTGTAATTTAACAATTTGTGACTTACAAAACAATATAACAAATAAAAATTAGAATGTAGTCGTTGCCGAATGTGTAGATTAAACGACCGCCTTTTTACTATATATCTTTTGCTGCCGTTTGCCTTAGTTTACGCGTCAAATTATCTACTTCTAGGCCTAAGACATCTAAATTTTCCTAAATAAAGAGGCAAAACCGAAGCAAAAATAAGTTGACTTTAAATATATAACACATTTATTTAGATTTACCTTTAAAGTAATATTCTTTAACAACGTGTCCTCCAAGACTGCCTGCAGTTTCTTATTAATTTCCAGTGACAACTCTAAGGTCATACTTTTACTGTCTGCTCCTTTAATACCATTATAAATAGCTGACATTACGCCGTTTCCATATTTTACTAATTCACTTTTATTCTGATCGCTTTTGGACGAAGTCAAAGCACCGGTCTGATCTCGGAGCATATAGTATTGAACCACTTTCGATTTTTTTTGTAATTCCGCTACTAGCGATAAAGTATGATTTTCAAGAAAATCTATTTTTTCTGCCTGTCGAGCCGAAGCTTGTTGCAAGCGTAGTATACGTTCTACTAAATGCTTTTTAGAAGGAGTCTTCAAAAAAAAAGTGAATTTGACAAATTATTTGAACTCCCAATAGTATTCACATACCTTTGTTGGATCTTTCAATTCGATATCTCGGTTGCCCATAACTGTATCTGACTCCGATGATTGACTACCGCGGCGACTGCTGCTTACAGCACTAGCAGAACTGCTTTGCCTGCTGTGAGGTCTTCTTGATTCAACAACCTCAACTTCAGCTAGGCGTTCAGTTTCCTCTTGATGATACCCATTACTTTGACACGATTTGTGGTGATGTTCACTCTGCTCTAAAGACTTTTTATATTTTTGTATTTCACGTTGTAATTCCTTTATAACTGTGCCATGTTTATGCTTGGTGGCCTCAAAATCTCCCAAAACATTGTCAAGCTTAAGCTTAGCGACTTCATACAGTTTCGTTTTCTCTGACAAATGTTTAGCCAACAATAAGCGTTCCTCATTCTTTTGATTCTGCTCAGATTTTAATTGAGTTTCCAGCCGCAAGTATTTTTCATCATACTGACTTTGCTCTCGTTTAAGTAGTTCATTTTCAGCTGCAATACCTTGAGTCTGTAAACAAACTTCTTCAATACTATATAATCGTTCTAATTACCGCCTTAGCTCTTTGAATCCAAATTTCAGACCACAGAACAATTTCCCCAAAAATAAACATTAACCACTTACCTCCGATTTCAGCAGACAGATTTGATTTTGCAAAGCAACGATACTTTCGCTCATCTCTTTATTAATTGCTAAGAGTTCTTTCTCCCGTTCGTGCAATTGCTTTAAATCGTGCTCATTATCGTGCAATTTTTGTAAAATTTCTTTTAATTCTCTATTCAAAGTATTTATTTTCGCTTCCTTTCTGCAAATCAGAAAATATTAAAATGAAATTCCAGCGACAGCCGTAAAGGCTTAACTCACAAAGCATTTTGAGTTTGCAAAATTTGCAAGTCCTCCAACTGTCCGCGCAATTTGGCGGAACTTAACATTTCTTCACTATACGAATTCTGGATATCATTGTGCTCCTCTTGTAATGCAACAAAGCTTTCAGATAATTCATTTTTCTTTTAACAAGAAAAAAATAATAATTTATATATAATTACAATAGAAAAATATTATATATACAAACCTCTTGAATCTCTTTAGCTAATTGTTCCTGTAAATTTTTTATATGCTCTTTTTGTATTTGTGTATCTTTTATTAATTTATCCAACTGTTCGCTTTTACGTTCAAGTTCATGTTTTAATAAAATGGTTTGAGCCTCAAATTCAATTTTGAGTTTTTCTAAAGAGTTATGTATATTAGTGTGTTATCTCGCTTTTATGCAATTTTATACATACCGTAAGCTTTTTCCTCCAATTTATGGGGCGCATTACGTTCTTCTTCCAATTTCTTTTCTAAGGCCTTTAAAGTAAAGATTCAATCATTTTTCTACTGGTAGATTTAAAAAAATTTTGTTTTATATTACCAGTTTAGCCTCCGTCTCCATATTTAATTTATTGATTTGATATTTTAACCTGGATTCCAGATGACCATAATCTGACTTATGTTTTTCAGATTCTTTTTGATATTTTCGTATTTCATTGCACTAGGCGAACGGCCAAATTAATTCCAAATTCCTTCTTGCTTACAATCATAGCTTACCTTTTCATCCATTAGATAAGTAACGCGAGACCTTTCTTCTTGTAAGGCGTGAAAACGTGTGGTACAGTTTTTAATTTCTCTTCGAGCTTCTAACAATTGCTTCTCTACTGTTTCCTTTTCCTTTTTAGCATCCAACAACAATTTCTCTTTCATAGCAAACTTAATGACTGCGGATTCTTTCTCCTTGTTAGCCAAATCCTTTTCTTTGCGAAACTACATAAATGCACGCAAATGGAAATACTTACTGCGTTTATTTTATTAATTATTTCAAGATGATAACTACCGCTTGCTTTTCCTTTTCCAGTATGGTATTCTCACGTTTATATAAAGTTATCATACTGTCTTTCTGCATCAAGGCAGCTTTTAATTGCTCCAACTGTTCCTGGTATTGTAGTTGCTGCTGTCGTAATACGTTTTCACAAGCCTCCTGATGATTCGTTCGAGTCACATCTGAAATATTCTCGGCGCCTTCGCCAGCCGGAATATCCACATCAGAAACACCCGTTGTCTCTTTTAATTCTATCGATTTAACATCTCCCGTTGTTGTTGCTGTTGGTTCCGCCGTCGACGTTATTATTGGTTTTTGTTCCGTACTCATTAAATCGCTATTTTTATCTTTTAAAAAGCTTACTTTCACAGGGCTTCCAGATTCTGGAGCATCCGTATCTGTGTACAGCGAGATTAGCAATTCCCCTTCTGATTGTTCTAAGTTTTCTTGATTTCTCAATTCGTCTTGATCTGTACATTGTGAGGCACATGTAAGTACCGCATCGGAAGATAATTCTACTTCTTTCATTGCGCTTGAATCCTCGCTCTTAGTTTCCATATTTAAACTTATTATTTTTCCCCCTAAAATAAGGTTTCTTTTATTTCTAAAACTCGTATTAATGCATTTTTGTTGTTTTCAAATGCTATCATTAATAAAATTACAAATAGTGTGGCAATAAAGTGAAATAAGAATGTGACGTAAACAACAAATCAGCTGATATTTGGAGAAGACTTTCCAATACTATAAATGCAATGTTATCGATCGACGTGAAAATAACAAGTCCTACGAAAATAATAAGTCAAGCGCTTTCACTTTAATAATTTACTTTTTACAACCATACTTTGTGTGCCCACTCATCTAAAGCTTTCTCCAACGACATATGTTCTCCTGAATCTTTCAAAACTGTACTGTAATTTATATTTTGCTTACAATTTTAATTGAACTTACAATACCATTAATACTATCGTCATCCTATAAATCAATTTTTTATCGTCCAAAATATATTATCGCCCGGATGTGTGGAAGCCATAAGAAATGTTACAATTATCATCAAGTCAAAAGTGTGAAAGTAAATTAAACGCATTTTCTGCCAGAAATGATTATCTTTAAATCCCTAGAACTTTCTATTCCTTCTTCAATTATCTTCTTTTGGTTGAAAAATTGTAATAAACAACACTGGGTTTTAGGTTAAGGATCTTATCAGACAAAAATTTCGAAATTCTGAGCCGGCGAGCATGCAGAGGAGGAGTACACTAATTGGAAAATTAAAAATTAATTTAAATTAATACATTATATTTAAAGCCGAAGTTTTAATATATTAAGTATTTATTTACATACTGCTATTTATTTATTTATATTATTTTGTGTAAAATATTGTTTAGAAATTAAAAGAATTATGGATAATAAGTTGAGAATACATTCTGGGCAACATAAATCAGTCACGCGTGTTGCACAATAACTCACGTGAGTAAGATTATATTATATTCCTACAAAGAATTTGTAATGAAATTGTTTGAGATACTTGGCAAATACAAAACTACGAATTCTTCAACATCAAATAAGAGATGAAATGAGAACAAGTTATATTTGCTATCAAATTCTTAATATTTTCTCTTCGCACACCTGAACTTATGCGTATACGCCAGCACATATTTAGTTAAAAACGCAGAATTGTATATGCTTTTGCTGTGTGAACGTCAAATACAGTGTGCCATCACCATTAGTAGAAATATTCTCCATACAAATAATAAGAATAAATAAACAAATTGATTAACGGCGCTATTACGTTATTGATAATAGAAATAGCAAAAGCTTCTAAAATTTTGCTACATCTCATTCTTGGTCTTTCTTTATATATTGTTCTCTATGTCCTTATTAGCAATTGAAATATTCCTGTTTTCATATTATTACATGGGTTGCACTTTTTCTCAGTTTTCTCATAAAACAATGTATGTCTTCTTTAAATCAGTGTTGGAAACCAGTTAGAAACTATTTAACAGATGTTAATTTGAAGCTACATATAATATGTTCATTATTACATGTTCATCCATGTATATATATGTATTAATATATATTGTGTGTTATATTTAATTAGTATCAATTCCTTAATAAGTTTTTCGATTCCTTTATGCGAAATGGTTTGCGCGCTTGGAATTGAAGGCAGTGCTAACAAGATCGGTGTTGGTATTATTAAAGATGGTCAAGTATTGGCCAACGTTAGGAAAACTTACATTACACCACCCGGTGAAGGTATTTCTCATAAATGTACGGGTACATTATGTATGTTTTAAATCGTACGATTTATTATTAATTTTTAAGGATTTCTACCTAAAGAAACCGCGAAACATCATAGAGAACAAATTTTAAATTTAATAAAGTCTGCTTTGAAAGAAGCAAACCTAAATAACAGTGATTTAGATGTAATCTGTTACACCAAAGGACCAGGCATGGCTCCACCTTTACTAGTGGGTGCTATAGTAGCTCGTACGCTATCACTATTATGGTCGAAGCCGCTGATAGGCGTCAATCATTGTATCGGTCATATAGAAATGGGTCGCCTTATCACGGGAGCTCACAATCCTATAGTATTATATGTTAGCGGTGGAAATACGCAGGTAATAGCTTACTCAAATAAACGCTATCGTATTTTTGGCGAAACAATAGATATAGCGGTGGGTAATTGTTTGGATCGTTTTGCTAGAATCATTAAACTTTCAAATGATCCCAGCCCCGGTTACAATATAGAGCAACTAGCCAAAAAAGGCAAGCAATTTATAAAATTGCCTTACGTAGTAAAAGGTAAACTGATTGGCACGAAACAATATTTCATAGTCAAATGTTAACGCAATTTATTTTTAAGCAGGTATGGACGTAAGTTTTTCTGGTATTTTGTCACATATTGAAGAAATAGCTGATCCTTCAAAGAAACGTAGTAAACGCAAAAAGCCAGATGAACCAGAAGCTCCAGAATACACTAAAGCTGATATGTGTTACTCCCTGCAAGAAACTATCTTCGCTATGTTAGTAGAAATTACCGAACGAGCAATGGCTCATTGTGATTCTAATGAGGTAAGATATATTTTCGAAAATGTTATAAAATGCTTATAAATAATTGTCTTGAAGGTATTGATAGTTGGCGGTGTAGGATGCAATGAACGTTTACAGGAAATGATGGCTATTATGTGCGAAGAGAGAAATGGCAAATTATTTGCTATTGATGAACGATATTGTATCGATAATGGTCTAATGATAGCACATGCCGGAGCTGAAATGTTTAGATCGGGTGCACATATGAAGTTTTCAGATTCATTTGTTACTCAAAGATATCGTACTGACGAAGTATTGGTTACATGGCGATCTGATTGATAATGAAATAAAATTAACTGAATTAAATCATATAAAAAATTTTATTACCCAAAAGCAAAGCGAAGGTAAACGTAAATAAATGAATTTAATTATAGATAAAACTATTAAATTTTTTCTATCTGCTCATTTTAATCGTTTAATTCCTTTTCAATCCCGCGCCAGTAACGTTTCATTTCCATAGGAAATAAGCGCTTGCCTTCTATAATATAAACCGTTCCATTTTCTTCGTTTTCCAAAGCACTCATAATACAACGCGCGACATCAGCAGCACTTTGTTTGTGCAAACGATCAAGCACTTGATAGGATTCATCAGCAACTTCAGGAAATAATATTTTCTCTGTAAAATTGGTAAACATATCAGTTATGGTCGCTCCTGGACAAACAGTAATAAGTTTAACGCCGCTACGTTGATAGAATTTTTCATGCTAAATTGAATAAAATATTAGTTAATGCGGGCTAAAATAAAATTGTAAACAACTTACGCTCAAGCATCGCGTAAAATTGATAATACCAGCTTTAGTCGCAGCATAAACGGGCACAAGAAACATGGGATCCAAACCGACAACGGATGCCATATTACAAATAAGACCACCGTTACCACCATTTACTTTATTCATAAATTTTAGAGCACTTAATGTCGAATGGATCATTCCTCCAAGATTAACCAGAAGTGTACGTTGTATGTCTTTATCGTTGAAAATGCCAGCGACATTTACTATCACGTCCAATTTACCCATAGTTTTAATAATTTCCTCATAACTCGCCTCCACGCCCTTTTTATTTGCTACATCCATTTTTATAAGCATTACACTCTGAGCTGGATAGTCAGCTCTAAGTTTAACAATTTCTTCAAAATTATCCTGTAAATCTATTATAGCCACCTTCTAAAGGGGAAAATCAATTTAACACATTTAGGAAAGATTTGCTGAAAAGATCTCCCTTTTTTAAAAAATGCTATTTATACCTCTGCCTCTTTGGCCAATAGCTCTTTGACCACTTGCAAACCAATGCCACCGGCTCCGCCAGTCACAACCGCGTTTTTGCCTTTGAAAGACATTTATTTTCTATATTTCTTTCCTTCGATCGTGTTATTGTTTTGAATTCAATTAATTCTTTTTTATATTGATTTTTCGTATTTCTGTTACGCGTCTTCTTATCTGGATGCAATTGTCCTGTTAGAAAATGACGTATTGTTTGACAGAAATCCACGTTGCTCGATCGATATGCTTACGCATTCACTTAATCTCGATTTATGTGGTTACTTTAAACTCTCAGCTATGCTTTATATATCAGGCCTTGGATGATATACGATACGAATTTTATCGGTTTGTTGTAATAAATTAATGTTAACGTTACTCAACCCTTTCACACAACATCTCGCTGTAATGCACATATTTATTGGCTTGTAGCGAGTCTTTAAGTTGAATAACATGTAAAATATATTCAAGATTTTCGTATTGATTACAATTTATATAGTTTTTCTAAATAATACAGCAGTCAATCAGGTGTTTAAAATCTTTGCACCTTCGCGCCTACATCTCATCAACCCGGTAACTTAAACTACATATAATGCATTTGCTTAACTTGCATTGAAGTTAACTTAACTAATTGAATATGTACAGTTAGTTAATTGGTGAGAGAGGTGATTGTCATGGATAACTAAAAATAGGAATACCTTGATCGAAATATAGATGGAAAATATAGTCTCTGTTGTTGTATAAAAAAAAATATACACTTTAAAATCCGTTATAGTTTAATAACGACGACGATATGCTGCTTAGGAAGTCACATAATGCAATTGTTTATATAAATTCTAAATATTTAAGAAAAGCATTCAATCGAAACGAAACGGTGTTAATGTCGGATACTATAGTACTATATATATATATATATATATATATGTATATATCGCGCAAGATATAGAAATATTTTAATTAATATTTTCTTAAAGTAAAATTTATTTAAATCAACTTAGTTTGGAATTCAATAGCTTAGGTAGAAAAAGAAGGGAACTATATAGGAATAATAAATATTTAAGAAACACATTTTTTTTTTTTTTTTTTTTTTAAATCTTAGATCTGTTAATCTGTGTGAAGACAAATAGAAAACATTAATTAATTAATTAGTGTGCGGCCGGATAAGTATCCTTATTTTGGTATCCGGTAACATAGCCGGATTCATCAACGATATTCTTACGGCCAGCTATACCTTTTCCTTTACCACTGGCGTCGAAACGTTCTTTATGGGTGCCCGTATATTTGCTAGTATCCGTTAAACGTTCAACAGCGGAAGCAGCTTTGCCGGCCTATAAATTATCATATAAAATTTTGCAATAAAATGAATTTTGGCTTTATAAATTCATACTTACCGTTACTTGTGTCACTCCCGGTGAGCCGCAATTGATCATTTTCTTTTTAATTTCTTCCAAATCGACTTTCTTCGTTTTAGCTAAATCGTCCAAGAATTTGTTGTAATCACCGTACGATATCTTTAAAGCTTTGAATTTTTTAAAATGTATACCAGTATCGGTGGTAGTGATCTTTTTGTCAATCACTTTAGCCTGTTTCATCCATTTATCGCTTTGCGAGAGTGTTATATGTTTGCCGTCCGATTTCGTATCACCAAATTTCGAAAAGGCCCTAAATTGATCCAGAAATGTTATTTTCGATGACTCATTTAAAGTCATCTGAGCCATTTCAACATTAGGCGCCGACTGAGTCAGTTGCGGTGATGGTGAAGATGAAAATTTACCATTTGTTGCTTCTTCCGACATTGCTCGTCTAAAAGAATAGATAGATAACATTTCTAAAATTTCTAAAATAAACAAAATAATTCGCGTACTATATATATATATATATATATATATATATCTTAGTATTATAAATGATATGATGGTTTGAATATGACTTAACATAGGTGCTGAAACTTACCTATACACAGGTACCGTAACGAACATATTTTTGTTTAAAGTTTTTCTTGCATATATCTGTTCTGTAGCCGAATGAAATGTGGAAATGCATTATAGAAGACTCGAAGGTAAATAATAAATTTCTAAAAATTTCTATTCTCTCTTAACTTCATTATTTTCATTAACACAAACACACACGCGCACAATATACGCATCATATTGATTAAAGAAACCATACGCTCGCTTATCGTTCGAGATTTATTATAAACATCCCAGCAAATAACAAAACAGAACAACTTATGAACAAGAATATGAAAATATAATGAATCCACACCGTTTAGCACCAGAGATGATTAATTTCTGCCTTCATACTTTCCGATATACTCCAATCTTGATAGGCCAGAAATGATAAAGCACAAAGAGATATAAGGTCCAATAGCAAATTTTTTACATTTCTAACCATAATTTATCGTATTTCAATTTAAATCGTCCGCCGTCAAACGCACACAATTGCTCAATAACGTTTTGAGAGAACTAGTAGACCTTTCGATAAAAGCTTGATCCAGATATGATTAATCAAGTCAGCTATAACTAAGAAACTAAACTAAGGGCACCAAAATGCGAAGACTTCGAGTGAGTTTGAACGGTACGTGCTCAAAATGAAAAAGCTTAGTTGAAAAAAAAGAAAAGAAGAACCAAAGCAAAGGTGCAAATTCCGCTGCTGGTTAATTTCTACACAAAATATTGTGCTTACTTTTCGGAAGAAAGAAAAAAAAATATGCCACAATTAACCTTTTGATCGACCTTATAATACACTACACTACGATCAGATGTGTTAGTTACTTTCGATGAGGTTTTGATTTCAAAAACAATATAACTTTAGTTGTTCTCCTCCCTCGCGGAATAACTTTCAACTAAGCTGTTATGTGAATGCAAACAAATGAAATGAAGGCGTGAAAAGGAGAAGGCAGAAAACGCGCTATTTAAGCACTTGTTAATATTGCGAAATGAAAAAAAAAATCAATTAGCAACGTAAATGTAAATTGATTAGGTTTCCGTCACCGGTGATTGCAGTTAAATGTTAATCACTCTACGAGGAACAGAGAGAGATGACGACACCGAACAAATAAATATAATGTTTGTGATGAAAGTGATATCATGATTTGTAAGCGCAAATCAGTCAGCATAATTATTACAAAAATAAATTGAAAAATTTCCCATCGATCATATTCAAAATCAATATGACTGAAAACAATGAAACACTTATGTACGACTTGGATTGAATTCGTGTCTTTCCGTTATTCTCTTTTTATCCCATATAGTGAATGACATGGTGAATTTAAACATATTTATAACAAGGGAGAATTTTTACCACAGATTTTACACGGATGGCCAGACGGACATTCATAGATTCGAATTTGAAGCTGGCCAAGAATTTATATATAATACTTTATGGGGTTTTTAAAGCTTGCTTGCTTGCTGTGCATTTTAACGTTTTCGCAAAAAAAAATAAAATTGAGTAGGCGGGGTTAAATTTTCCATTTTTTTTTTTGCGGGCACAACAGCATCGCCAAATATTTTTGTAAATTTATCTGCTGTAATTGATGATAGGTAATGAGCAAAAAACCGTTTTTTTTTATTTCTTTTGAAAAACAGAGATGTTCCCAACGTATGTGGTACTATGAGCATTCCCTTCGACCGATTTGGCCCATTATTAAGGCCAAACTGCCAACGTTTCTATTGAAACTGAAGTCGATAGCTTAGTTTTTACACGCAGAAAAATGTTTTCAACATACAACCGAACAGATGGACATGATTAAATCAATTCCGAATTTGATGCTGATCAAGAATATATATATACTTTGTGGAGTCTTTGAAACTCCCTTTTCGGTGTTACAAACGTCTTACAAAAATAAATATACTCGCCCATACTTCGATGATGGGTATAATAAGCATAAAGATATATAACAAATTAGTAAACAGATCCATTAATATATCATACGATTTTTAAATTTCGTTTTTTGCAAGCTTTGACAACATATCGCGGGCAACTATAGTGCTTAAAAATCGTGTTTGGATAATGTATGCCATTTAGGTATGAGTTTCGCTCATTATAAGTCCAATCTTTCTGATGATACTTAAATTAAATCTTACGATGAAAGGTAAAGAACATATCTAACTAAATAAATAAATTTAATCTTTTTTAGGCACAATTTTTTTTCAACTTTAATCACAATTGCAACAAATAGGTCGTAAACAGGGACGTGAACCAACAGAGATGACTGCATGCATTTTTTTATTGACTTTAGGATATTTATATATATTTGATTAGATAGCCGATACGTACCACGTCTGTGATATGCTATATACACTATGCGCTTATATACATATATGTAACTTTTTCTTTTTGTCAAGAATTTTTTCTATACCTAACTTTTTTGGGTAAAATATTCTCAGCACATATCCATTAAAATATATAGTAACAGAAACAGTATATATATGTATATATATATATTTCGGAATTCTACTATAGAACCATACCGCCGACTAATAGGCATAATATTTAAATCGATTCAGGAAGACATTTTATTTGTTCATGTATATAAAAAACAATTTTTTCAATTTTCCTGGCAGTTCTGCAAAGTTAATGTGCTCCGAGTACATTGTATACTTCATGTTAGATATAAAGAAATCTTATCAAAAATTGAAATTATCGTAAACAAAGAAATAATTATTTATGTTTACGTATAAAAAAATTAATAAAAAAAAATTGATAAATATATAAATTTGTGAAATTTTTAATAAAATTCAGTTTGAGCAAAAGCAACAAAAAAAATAAATAAATATTTTTCTTAAGCATACATAGAACCTAGACCCACCCAACTGTATCCAACTGTAATATGTCAAAAATTGTACTTTTTCTTGAGCTGAAAAACTTTTTAAACAAGTTTACGTTTTCATTTCAAATAACCAGACACGTTCCTATACATATATCCACATTTCACGTAAAGTAAAAAACAAACTTAAATATGTTAAGTGTTAATACCCTATACCGCTTGTAGTACAGAGTGTATTAATTAGTGCGGTCGTATGTAATACACAGACGGGCTTAAGGTCGTCCAACCGTTTATTAAACCGATCAATCAATTTGAATCATAATCTCAATTGATCTAAACTTGTCTTTCCGTCTGTCTGTCTGATGTCTGGTCATATAAATTTGTGTTCAATCAGCAGCTCGCAATTTTTGAGATATTTCAATGAAATTTGACACGGTGACGTGTTTGTACCCACGACCCACGATGAACGCTATTGAAAATGGTCCGGATCGGTTCACTTTTTCGACCGCACCCCATATAACAACGCTCTATTCTGGAGAAAAATTAAATGTACCATATAGATGTGGACCTTCTCGGCTCATTTTTTGGTTCTTACTCTAATAAGGATTTTCACGAAAATTGACCCTTTGTAGAGCCGAAAAGTCTAAGTTTTACTATGTGGTCATGAAAATTGATCCAGAATATTATAGTAATTTCATACAAAAATGAAGTCTACAAAATATGGACCATCTACGCCTAGTTTTGGATCCTGACCTATGTAAGTATTAAACTTGTACTACTACATTAGATTGTGCTTCGGCCCCACTTCTCCATAAGTACGCACTTGAAAAATATGACTTTATATAGAAAGAAGACATATTTTTGCTTTCTATTGGCAACATAAAGACATATATATATAACGGAGACCTCACTAATTATCCATATTCGAGATAAGATTAGGTAGCAGAATCGATTAAGCTATATTCAGTTATCAGTTAAAAATTTCAATCGAAGAAAAAATCTATCCGTAAGGTTCATGGCTTATGACTATATACATTTACTTTGAATTATGTGTAAAATCATATATCAGCAGTGCTTCGTTATATATTAGCTTTCATTCCTATTGACATAGGATGGTTGGTTTTACAGAGTATTGTATTTTTCAACTCCGAAGCCCGTAATATATTTTGAACGAAAAGTGTTTTCAAGGCAAAATAGTCATGTGCATCGAAAGATCGAATCAATTTCATCTAAATGTGATTTCGTCCCGAGTGTTCTTCATTGATGTAAATCAAAACTAAATTAAGATTCTAATGATAATCTGATATCAATGTGTAAACAGCCTATTCAATTACTTATAAAAGTCACATACCGTCTATTCAGCTTATAGTCTTCACTGGTAAATTTTAAACGAAAGCGAAAGAAATATTGCTGTCAGTTTAGGTCGAGCTTTTTTGAAACTATCCTGTGAGTGTATACATGTACACGTCAAGGGATTTTTTGCTATCTTTAGCAATACACTCACAATATACTTATATATATGCATTCAACTTTTTTTTTACACAATCCTTTAGAGTAACGCAATTCACCAATAAGAGCAAATACACTTTTTGTCCTCTACGCCGCTTGTGGTACATGATATATTATGTTAGGGTGGACGTGTGTAACACGCGGAAGGGTTTAGGGTAGTTCCAACTTTTATTAAACCCATCGATTCAAAATCATAATCTGGATTGATCGAACTCTGTCCATCCGTCTGTCCATCTATTGCCTGTCCACGGAAATTGGTTTTCAAGCTACATGTCACTATTTTTGAGATATTTTGATGAAATTTCGTATAGGACGAACCTTATTGAAAACGGTTCGGATCGGTGCACTTTTTCGATCGCTCCCCATATAACGTCCTATTCTGAAAAATCGTTCCATAACGCACGAAATAGTTTTCCCAACACAATTGAAAAGAAAACGCACCAAAAAAGACCACATAAAAACAGGTTTGAGTGTATGTAAAATGGATTTCATTATTGCTTTTCTTGTAGGACTTTTTGAGAAAATATTTGTAGCTTCTTTGTCTTACGCCATGCTTTAAGGCTGCGAAACATGTTCCCAAACTTACGATATATCGTATTTTCTATGACTTTTTTTGCACGGTTTTCTAAGGAACATATCGACAGGGTAAAAATAGAGTTGAGTGTACCTATATACACATATTTAAATATGTATGCATGTAAACATATGTTTTTAGCCTCGTTAATGGATTTGTTAGATGACATCAATCATCTCTTCACACTTTTGTGCAGTTTTTATCTCTGTTCCATACTCTCTCCATTTTTGATACTAAGATAAATTCTATTCCTTAAAATAATTTCTGAAAAAAAGTAGCAGAAACCAACTTCCGACAGACACAAAAACATATATAAATTAATATTTTGTACGGGTACCTTTGCGCTATCACTGCCGAAATTCGTCTGTGGTTATACGAAAAGTAATGAAAATAACATGCCGTCTACTGAACGATGGTTATAGACAAAATAAAGACAGAAAGATTAATGATTATTGTACACCGTAGGACCATGGATAGCCGAGGTTTATATTAAACATGGCTTGGAAAAAATTTAGTTTATTTTCTTAAACAATTTATAAAAAAGCTACCATTTAATATATAATTGCTGATTTGTTTCTAAAGAGGAAGTAGAGAAGAGGAAATACTATCGTATTATTCGGACTATAAAAAGGACCTCTTTTGCATAGAAAAATGGACTTAACTATCAGGCATTATTTAGAAAGTCTGCGATGTTAGTATGAGAGCAATCCAGAGCGCATACAACAGCATACAAGCA